TCATGGCAAGCATGACTCGACTGGTGAATGTTGATACATTTTCAAGGCTACTTGGTGTGTGTGTGCGTGTGGAGGCGGGGGGTGTTGGCGAATAGGAATAATTTTCATTTGAAAGATTGTGTTTGCTACACTATTTTCTTTTTATCTGTTTTCTGTGAGAGCTATCTCATTTGACGGGCTGTGCCTGTAACGAAAAGACGAGTAAACTTCGTCAGCATCCAATACGACAGTCTGTCTCCTGCACTTGTATATGAACAGACGCATAATCAAATGTCAACTTGCACACACACACACACACACACACACACACACACACATGTACCCCTTGTCTCACTTTATTCATTTTGCGGCATCAAAAGAAAATGGAAATCCGGGCTTTTGAAATGCGCGCATCTAACGAAAACGTATAATAAATGACCGCTTTCGGTTAGAACCGCCTACGTATGATCATACGATTGCTACGGGGTGTAAACTCATTTATGGGATCTTTCCGGGTTTCCTCTAACAAAATAAGTCAATCTATCTTCCAATAGTTGTAGCAGTAGTACTCGTAACAATAACAGTTTGTTTTCATGTGACTTGGTTTGAATTGGCTCATAAAGTAATCTGGGACGCACCAAAAAACCAAATTTGAGCAGATGTCACCTCCAAGAACGGCTGCCACAATTCTCAGAATTAGAGCATCCCGATGTGTGCTGAGACGAACTGTTTTTTCTTACTATCACGGTCGATCGTTCCAAACCAACATTTTGACGAAAACTTCAGCACTCATTTTCGAGGTTTCTGCNATCTCGGTAAGAATACGTGTGTGTATGTGTGTGTGTGTGTGTGTGTGTGCGTGTATGCTTGCATATAATCCCTGGTTGAGAGTCAATCTAAGTGGATTCAAAAAGATGGCTTGTTCAAACACTTGAATTCGTCTAGTTCTCAGTTCTTCGACAGATTGGATCTCCTATTTAAGACATTTCAGGTTTGATTGTATAAGAAACGTGGTTTTACTGTGTATCTAATCGATAAATTGGTTAGCAACCAACACAGCATCATATTCGTTAGCATATTCCATCGCACTGACAAAGTTGGTTGCTGACATTTGCATACCGATCAATTTCATCTTTCCTCCCTTAAACTGAAAATGCTGAGAAACAATCTTGAGGAAAGGTGTGGAAGCGGTCAATCAAACAGCTGCCATAAAAAACTCAGTTGAGAAAACCACGTGGTGGAAATGACGACGAAAATAATAGTAAAAATATTATTAATAATGATAAGAAAAGTGATGATGATGATGATGATGATGATGACGATGATGATGATGATGATGATGATGATGATGATGATGAAGATGATGATGATGCTCATGTTGATGACGATGATGATGATGATGATGTTCATGTTGATGATGATGATGATGATGTTCATTTTGATGATGAAGGTGATAATGATGATGATAATGATGATGATTATGATGACAATGATGATGATGATGATGGTGATGATGATGATGATGATGATGATAATGATGTTCATGTTGATGACGATGATGATGATCATGATGATGATGTTCATGTTCATGATGATGATGATGATGATGCAGATGATGATGATGATGATGATGACGATGATGATGATGATGTTCATGTTGATGATGATGATGATGATGATGA